CAATTTGACAATTTATCAAATTAATCACTTACTTTCTTCTCTTCTGATCTTTCGCGAATTTCACGTAACGCAAAAAAGAAAAAGAAAGAAAGAAACATGGACGAGAAATAAAAAGGAAAATGAAAAATCTTTCCTCTCCTCTCCCGATTAAATTTTCAAGCGCTTCTCAATTTGACAATTTATCAAATTAATCTCTTACTTTCTTCTCTTCTGATCTTTCGCGAATTTCACGTAACGCAAAAAAGAAAAAGAAAGAAAGAAGCATGGACGAGAAATAAAAAGGAAAATGAAAAATCTTTCCTCTCCTCTCCCGATTAAATTTTCAAGCGCTTCTCAATTTGACAATTTATCAAATTAATCTCTTACTTTCTTCTCTTCTGATCTTTCGCGAATTTCATGTAACGCAAAAAAAGAAAAAGAAAGAAAGAAACATCGACGAGAAATAAAAAGGAAAATGAAAAATCGTAAATCTCTCCTCTCCTCTCCCGATTAAATTTTCAATCGCTTCTCAATTTATCAAATTAATCAAATCAAAGCAAGCGTTTTCACTCGAGCGCTCAAAGAATCTTTTGTGCCAACGATGATTCATCCTGTAATAATCATTCATAACCAAGCTGTGACCGTTCCCTCTTTCGCGCCGATTATGCGCAACGTTTTCGATTATGCTAATCGAGAGCAGAGAATATATATATAATTGGATCCGTCGATTATTATTCGAAACGAATGGAAACGAAGAGATTTTCATCTTATTTTATTTGCATCGATAATCGTCGATACATGGAATAAATACTCTTGCAATAAATACTCGATCGAATCGAAGATCCATTCAAGATCTTAGGGATAAAGGCGCGAGTTATTTTTAATTCGTTCTTAATTCCATGGCGTTTCGAAAGCAACGCGATTTCACTACGGCCCCGTGCCTCTTCCTAGCTTAATGAAAAAAAAAAAAAAAAAAGATGGCCAGAAGAATTAGGTTGTATTAGCATCCCAGCGTTGTCCAAGCGGAATTTCTGTCGTTGGTCCACGTACGTGACTCACACCCGTGCCAAGCTACACGAGTACAATGTTAATTCCATTAATGCTTTTCAGTAACTAGAAAAAAAAAAAAAGAAAGAAAGAAACATCGTATCGACGTGTCATTAAAAATGTAACAGGAAACGCGATGGAAATTACGGGGGATGGCAATTTCCAACGAGAGGGAGGAGGAAGGAAATTTTTCGATCGACGAACGTAATAATTTCTTCGTTAAGACCCCTTCCCTCTCGTATCTTTAAAACTCTCGTTCCACTCTCGTCTATAGAAATTAATAAAAAATCAAATAGATAAACTTTGGCGATGGAAGAGGTCGAGGAATATCCGCGTTTTATTAAGAGAAAAATTGGTGTGTTTGAAAGAAATTGGCAAGGAGGAAATTTCGTATTTCGTTTCGAACGAAAACAAAAATGACTCAACTCGATAACGATTCCATCGGGAAGTTTCAGGGATATCTCTCTTTCTCGCGTTGCACAGGCGCGGATAACCGGTAAAAATTCTTTCCCATTCACAGGAGCGGCCCGACCCCACGAGGCGGCCAGAATTCCTTAAGGAGAGCCAGACGCGGCTCGGTTTCAACAACAATGTGTGCCCACGAAAACCGTGGCAGTGGGGGGATGGCGAGCGAGGTCCGACTTGAAACAGGACCAACTTGATTGGCGGAAGTCCAAAAGGAAGGGGTTAGAGTCTGATATATGTTCGACCACGCGCCTTCCACAACCACTTCGTGCCCGTGACACACGGTCCAAGGATATAAAAAGCGGAAGGCCGAGTCGAAGACGCGAGAGGATCGAATTGGAGAAGGGTGAAGGACGAAGGGAGAGGTAGTAGATGAACTGTGAATCATTACGGGGGGATCAGTGGAGTTTTCGGATCAGTGTTCAGTTTCGCCCGCAAATTTTATAACACGTCGTCCCTCCCCCTCTCCCTCCTATCATGAGGATAACAGTGACCGTCTTGTTTCTCCTTGGGATTACGATCCTCCACGATGCTCGGGGTGAACCGATCGGCAAAACCGAGGAGGAGAGTGACGAGGCGTTGCTCGACTGCGCGTTACAGGAGAACACGTTGGGATGTTTGGGCGCGAGGCTGGCAAGAAGCATGGATCGAATCGAGATGCAAGTGACGGGGAAGAAGAGCGAGACACCGATGAGCGTGGTGATCGAGCAGGCTGGTAATTTCGTGGCCGAACTTGTCGACGACATTCAAAATCCCGGAAGAGCGGATCAGGTGGACGAAACTTCACAACTTGGTGAACACGGTGAGAATAGTGATTTTTTTTTTTTCGAAGTAACGAAATTTGATAAATTTCTTTGCGATAAATTTCTGTCGAGTCGAAAAGAAAAGAAAAAAAAGAAAAGGTAGTAGCCACAAAGGTAGTTGGATGAAAGAGAAAAGTTGAGAGAGCACGTGTTCGTACGCGCGTNGTAATAAAAAAAAAAAAAAATCAAATGTGAATTTTTCCACGTGTCTGATCGACGTCGTAAAAAAAGTCGGCTGACTTTTACCAATTTTAAAATTAACTCGTTTTATCTTCGAAACTCGACGACGAGATTCGCCTTATTAGCTTTTAGATATCCAGGAAATTTCACTGACCTCTTTCTATCTCTCTCTCTCTCTCTTTCTCTTTATCGTCGTCCTTTTTTTCTTCGCCAATCTTTCGAATCGAAACGATAACTTCGAACAGCATTCCCAAGTTGTTTATTTATTTCTCGTCTTTTTTCAACCTTAAAATACTCGAGAAAAATCGTGCGTTTAAAAACAAACTCTACCGAGATAGATAGAGAGAGTAGAAAGAAGATAACCGAATTCGAACTTCCTATATATATATATATATATATATATATATATATATATATATATATATATATATATATATTAGTACGACGGAGCAAAGCAAACGAGACTAATTACATTTACACGGAACATTTCACAACGTTGCGAAGAAGCGCATTAACACGTGAACGTTAGAAGAAGACGAGGCGTGTAGTAGTACGTTAGAGGAGAGAATACGTGTCTTTAGGTCAACTAGGACACGTTTGACTTGAAATTCAACATTCGATACCATGTCAACTTCTCTCTCGGTTTGCACACTATTTAATGATTATGCGACTTGGGCAAATTTGCTCTAACGGTATCATCATGCTCGTTATCCTACACTTCGTTGTCGTCATTTGTCGAGCGAATCGTAGAAATTGAACAATTTGACAGAACAATCTTCCGCCAGTTGAGGCAACGATATCGTAATTTCTTTTTTTTTTTTTTTTTCATTGAAATGTTCGAATTTTTTTCGTCCAAAGACCGTGACTTTTTTTTCTTTCTTTTTTTCTTCTTCTTCTTCTTCTTCTTCGAGGGGAAAGCCATCATCATCATCATCAGAGGGGAATTATGTGGCCCACAAGAGTTGAAAGTATCCGGGTCACCGGACTCGTTCATCTCAAATTATTACTCCGATTACTCTTATCAATTTTTTTTCTTTTCTTTTTTTTTTTTTTGTGACGAAACCAATTCAACCCGTAAACGGTTCGTCAAAAACGGTTAAAAAGGGAGAAGCGAATGAAAGTAGAGGCGTAATACGAATTAGCGTGTATATCTTGAGAACGTCTCGTTACACTTAAACTCGCGTAAACAATTGATGGTGGCGCAAATCGCGGCCACCTAGGCGACCGAAGAGAGTGAGTTCGTGGTAAAGTTGCCGAGTATTTTCATAGTATCTGTGTCGATTCGCGCGTTATTATTAACGTTTCCTCTTGGCGGAATAAAGAAAATTTATTATTACGTATTATTTCTGATATCTTTTTTCTTTCTAGAAATTATAATTAATAATAACAGATATTCCGATAAAAACTTGATTCGTTCGCAAGTGATTGATCCAAGTGACACGTTTCTCAAACGTTTCTCAAACGGAAGAATTTCGATTTGCAGAGGAAGGACGTGGGAGGAGAAAGAAGAAGAAGAAGCAACTGCAAAAGCTGCTCGGTTTGGTGATGTTGTTCAAAGCCAAGCTCAGCCTTCTCCTTCAACTGATCTCGACTCACTTCCAGCTCAAATTCTTCTTCATCGCTATCGCTACCCTCGTCATCAACGCCACCAAATTCTGGTTAGACCTGAAGAACGCTAAACCGTCCAAGGTGATATATTACGAGCACGCTCAACACCAGCATCATTACGATCACGACGATCACGATCACAATTATTGGGGACGATCCTCCTCCAACGATTCTCCTCAAGATTTGCCTTATTCCGCCTACGCCCCGAAAAATTGATGGAGGATCGAAATTCTCATCTTTCGATCGAGATTACGCGAAATGATGAGCAGCGAAAAAATAAGGAAAAAAATCGTCGCTGCCATTATTTTCTCCCTACTCAGGTTTCTAGGTAAAAAAAAAAAGAAAAAAAAAAAAAAAAAAAAATGCCCCCCTCCTTTTTTTTCCCCCCTCCCGGGTTTCTAGGTAAAAAAAAAAAAAAAAAAAAAAAAAAAAAAAAATTGTTAATCGTTGTTCTCCCTCGATCGCATTTTTAACAACTATCGTCTATATTAATAATTAACACGAATATGTGGTGTAATCCATATGTTATTCTTTCTATTTAAGTTATATTTATTTATTTATTATTTTTTTTTTATTTATAGAAAATCGCGTTTCTTTTTTGATATGAAAAAAATAACGCAT